GTTGTACATAGGGTCGCTATGAGTCGCAAGCGACTCGACGGCACATAACAACAACAATTTGGCTAACTGGCTTGGTGATCTTTTCTGGGGACTCGCACTGTTACACCGCCCACGAACGCCCTGAAGTGTTTGGTTTCCAACCGCCTGGAAGCCTCACTGCTTCCTCCCCGCCCAAGTGCAGACCGTCTCTGCTCACCTCTGACTTGCGCCTTGGCTTTCCGAGCCAGGTCCAGCCGGTTCAGCCTCTCGAGGATCTGGATGGCCACGATCTCCATCCAGTAGTGGTGGCACCTGGTGCTGAGAATCTCGGCCAGCTCCTGCCCGCTGGCTTTGTCGATCTCCTCCTCGGGCACCTCTCGCCCTTTGAAGGCCTCTTCCAGCGGAAAGGAACCCAGCAGAACTTTGAACTGGGTCAGCTCATCCCTGTCAAGTTTATCCAGAAGCCCGTGTAGGTTGAAACCCAGCGGCGGCGGCGATGCCATCTTGCGCCTTGAGGGAGAATCTTGGGAATAAAACATTTAAGAATTAAGGTGGGGACCTCAGCTCCTGAAAACCGACCAGTTCTGGACTTGTCAACCATCAAGTGTGCCTCGAACATTGCACTTTCAGAGGGCTACGGGGCAACCTGACCTGGACGCCGCCAGCTTGAACTATCAACTAGGACACTCCGGGCAGTGGGATTAGATAGATGAATGGGAGGGGAAGACGGCCAAAGTGGAAAGGGATGGCTGCCTAGTTCATGCACGTACAGGAACTGTCAAACCAACGCTGGACTTTTGCTTTGTACAGTCACCACTACTAACCAAAGGTGTTACCAGGCAAAAATGGATTTCAAGTCGACAGGAATATGGAACCATCATCACATTCCTTCCCCCCGCCCCTTAAACCTCAAACTATCCTAAAATAGTATTTTAAAAAACGTAAGTGGCCAAACCACAAATGCTGGCAAGGTTGTTGAGAAACGAACCCTTATTCACAGTTGGTGGGAGTGAAAAATGGTGCAACCACTATGGAAGGCTGTTTGGGGCTTTCTCAAAAAGTTGCAAATAGAAATACCATTTGACCCAGCAATTCCACTACTGGGAATATACCCCAAAGAGACCATAACTGCCACCCAAGCAGATATATGTACACCCATGTGTATCACAGCTTTGTTCATAATAGCAAAGAGCTGGAAACAACCCAAGTGCCCATCAACAAACGAATGGATAAAGAAGCTCTGGTATATTCACACAATGGAATACTATGTTGCATTGAAAAACAAGGAACTCATGCAATGGGTAGCCCTGGAGGACATTATGCTGAGTGAAATATCTCAGTCACAGAAGGACAAATACTGCATAGTGCCACTGTTGTAAAGGGGGACTGACACTGGGGTTGGGGGAACTCAGGAGAGAGGGGATAAATAATGTACACTGCACTGAAACAGATGAGGGAGAGAACTGTTTAGAAGGAATATATGATTAGGTATTATTGTCACGGCAAGAGTCCAGAATGAAAGCGATATAGTGGAGTGGTCTGGGGGATTGCGTAACAATTTTTTTTTTTTTACTTTTCAAAGAGAAAAGTGAACTGGAGGGAGGGGTGGGCAGGAAGGAAAGTGCAACAATGAGTGAATGTAAATTCAAAGTCTCTAAACTTTCATTAAAATAAGAAGATAAAGGATTTTAAAAAGTGGCATTCACTTCCTATACACCATGCCTCCGGAAACCCTATGAACTTGGGTAAATGTCAATAGTTGTACAGGCTTCCAGCCTTTTATTCACAGGGTCACTCTGAGTCGTGCTCGATTTGAACGCCACCAACAACCGTACAAAGATACACTGAGGAATGAAAGGATGAAAGAAAACTACAGCAAATGTGGTCACGACAGCAACACGCAAGTTGTGTATTTACCAGGATTACAGTTATTCTACTGCCAAACCAGATCCTTCAAGAACAGCCGAGAATTTGGACTCTTTGGTTGATATAAGGGTTTGTGCGTGGAGATTCTTGGATCTTTCAGGAACCCATGGATGGTGCAAATGATTAATATACTCAGCTGTTCACGGAAAGGTAGGAGAGGATTATCTCATTTCTATTCAGATTTACTTCTGAGATATCTCTGGGCAGACCAGAAATTTAAGCTTTAAGTGAATAGCCAAGCAGGTAGCCAGCCATTCAGGACTCCATTGTAGGTCCCTTTATCAAGGACTAGGTTCTGATACGACTAGGCCTAAGACTCGACGGCACTTAAAAGTAGCATCAACATAGAGAGATCAGCTGGCCAAGTGGACAGAAGGTGATGCTACCAAGCGGAAGGTGGTTGACTTTTAATCCACAGCCGTCGGGCCTGTCTTTAATTGTTTTTGTTCAGACATTCCTCTAGGTTGTGTAGCCCTGGTGTACAAGATGCCGTACAGCGGTAACTTGTGGTTGCTGTGAGGCTGAACACTGACACCGATGTGTCAAATGCATTAATGCATAAAACGTTCTACAGTTGGTGAGTATTTGCAATCTGAGGGGCAGGAGTCCTGTATTTGGCATCCCAAACCATCGTCTATGTAAGATTTGTTTGCTGAAACAGAAAGCCAGTTTGCTCTGTAAACTTTCTATTAATTCAGAGTCAAAAGCTATTTCCTTGATGCAATTGCAGCCATATGCCGCGTCGACTCTGCCCCCACCCACAAGTCACTCATAAAATTACACCTTAAGGTCTGAAAGGGTCAGGGTCAAATTCACAGTCTTTGCATGATTTCAACTCCTGCTGATACTCCATCAGGTTTTTGAGGCTATAAATAGTTCCAGAAGGAAACTGTTCATTTTTCTCTCACATGGAGAAGTTGGTGGGTTTGAACCGCCAACCTTTCAGCTACCAGCCCACCACATAAGAAACTGCACTAAGAGGGCTCCTAAAATAGAGATCATTTCTGTATTAAGACAAGCCACTGCCTAGAAGATTTTCCCAAGAGATCATTTCCCAACAGTCCCTCCCAAATGAAAGACACCTTATTATAAGCTTCATAAGCTAAATTTCAGGGGGAAACCTAGAATTAGCCAAGACAAGGATGGACCTTTGTTGAAAAGCACTGAGCTGAGGCCAAGGGCTAATTTGGAGAGTGCATGTCCACCCGAGTTTCAGGGAGGGTTTTCTGATGGGCTAACAGAGCCCTGACGGCCCAGTGGTTAAACCCTCTGTTAACTCTAAGGAGGGTTGGCTGTTCTAATCCAGGAGCTGCTCCGAGGGAGTCAGTGGTGTGTGCTGATTTTAAGTCAGAACAGCTTTCGCTTAATCCTCCGTGTTCCTTGTCTACTGCCGAGTTGAAACCGACTTCTAGCCGATTCTCCTCCAGCTGGTTTTCAGAGGCAGTTAATTGCCCAGGAGGAGGACTGCCCGTCCTTTTCCCACTGGGCAGCTGGTGGCCTCGAACTGTCTTAGTGGAGCTGACTGCCTTTTCTTCACATTTCCTGAGCTTAAGCTCCTTTTCAGTCCTGCCTTCTCTCCTTGTTATCCCCTTATAAATCATCGCCTTTCCCTTCACCCACCTTAATACTATTTACTGATTGAAAACCCTTCGTAAGGTTTAAATGAGGCCTTGCAGATAGGGGCGCCACCTTTCTTTACAAAGCAGGCAAAGCCAAGTGTAAGATGAATTAAAATACCCTTGAGTAACAGTAGTTTTAGGCAGGGGCACTAAACGTCCTCCACGTTTGAAAACTGGCAGTTGATGGAGTCATCTGGGTTTGAACTGTACCACCCACTGAACTTTTTCTTTCCTGCTGCTGAAGACAGGATGGCATTTACAACGTTCGGTTTAACTAGAAACGCACAGGATAGCTCGCGAAGAAAACGAATCTCATTTCTGACACCCTGTGTTTCCAAGCCTGTGAAACTGGTTAAAGCGTCTAAGGTCTGTGCAACCCATTCCCCATCGGAAGCTAATCACCGTCTCGAGACTGGAAGGCACTTTGGAGAATGCTCCCAGCTCCTCCCAGATCTGCAGTTAAGTGCTTTGAGTATTGCAAGCTTCCCGTGTGCCCAGGACTGTGGAAGGAACCCCTTGCGCTCAGCAAAGCATCACAGCGAGTTCAACTGTTTGGAATATCTAAGCATCGGCTTAGCCTCCGGTGTCCCTCATCGCCACTGTGTGATCATCAGCTCGCTCGGAAAGGACTGACCTCGAGCGGCGTGTTTATCGAGTGGCTACGAGCAGCACATGAAGCCCTCGCGGTGTGGTGGGTTAAACATTGGGCAGCTGACCCAAACGTCAGCTGTTCAGACCCACTGGCCTCTGGTCCTCAAAACAAACTCATGTGAAGATTTACAGTCTCAGAAAACTTGTGGAGGAGTGCTAACCGCCCCCCCCCCCCCGCCCCGTCACCACCAGCGATCTGTTAACACCTGAGTGGACCCCCCAGTTCTGAATCTAATAATGGATGGAAGAAATGTGGTGCCGTTACTTCCAATCAACTGGGTGAATCAACTGGGTCAATTCACTCAACAACCTTGAAACTGCCTGCACCAGGGACCCCGTGGGGTAAAGGAGAATTTAAGAGTCAACAGATTCACAAGCAGATGAACTCCTGTCTTGCTAGAAGTCAGATTAAGGAGTCCTAGTGGCAGCGGCTTATGCACTGGGCCACCAACCAAAAGGTTGATGGTTTGAGTCCACTACTGGCTTCTTGCGAAGATTTATAGCCTCCACTATAACTAATCACATTAATCAAGAAAACTGGTTATCATAAACCAATGTCTGAGTGGCTGCATGAAAAAACAACCCAGTAGGACTTGTAGTCCTGTATTTAAAAATATAGAGATTATTTGAGAAAACTATCAATCCAGCAAATTTTTCAAGAGTGGTGTTAATTACACGAAGCTTGCTGGTAACTATGACAGGAAGACAGGTCCCACCCAAACAAGATTCCAGCCCCATCCAGGGATGCAGCAGCCTCACATGAGGCCAGGAAGCTGGTGGGTGCCACAGAGCTGATGCCAGCTCAGAGAGAGACCACCATTGGGAGGGGTAGGGCGGTCTCCTAGGGTTTCCTCAGCTGTTATCTTCCAGGGTTAAGAGCTCAGATGGGTGACACAAGAAGTCAGCCTTCCGCCCCCCACCCCAGCCGCCCCACGATGGAGAACGAGGACCTGCAGGATGACCCTCTCGGGACACTTCTAGGGCCCAAGGTTCCTCTATGCTGAACGTGACCGCGCGTGCCCTGCAGTGACTCCAAGAACCACCTGCGTTAGCTGAGGCTTTCCAGAGAGGCTGCGAGGATACTCAACACGGGCTCGTCCAGCCCGGACTCGCTCGGTATTAGAACCAGCCCCTAACACAGAAAGATGAACCTAGTCTAGATGGGGAGCCGGGGGCTCGGTGGGTCACCTGAGAAATGGCAAAAAATCACGGAAGACTTGTTCCAGGTGAGAGGTCGGGGGGGGGGGGGGAAGAATGGGATTTCTCCCCATCCTGATCTAAAAAAACCCCAAAACAAAAAGCGAAAC